TCCCCAAGCGTACTCTAACTCCCGGGTTTAGGTACCCTTGCCCCTGGAGGGGGAAACTGCACCCAGACCCAGGTAGGGTTACCCTTTTCCCTGGGGTGGAGAGAAGCAGACTGTCCCGAGTTGCATTGCGTTCGACCTCCCAGGGCTACTATACATGTCTTTACAAAGACCTTTCAAATATACAGTAATACGAAAGATATCTGATGTTTTCTTTAGCTTATTAGACTAATAAATCACAAATTAATCCCACTCCAGAAAACCTTTGAATCCATTGAGTACATTTTGCATGGTATGAAAGGATTTTGAGGTCTCATAGCAGCAGTGTGCAGTCTCATGGTCTCCTTGTGCTTCATTTTCTGAATCTTTATTTGGAACATAACTACCTGTTGGCAATGCAAAAAGTGTTTCTTCATATGCTATTATGTGTAAAGACCCTCATGTTATCAACTTCCTGAAACAAGTTGTTTTGTTCTCTTCTGACTGAGAACAAACAGGTCTGAAGAGCAGGTGGGCGGATCCCCCTGTGCTGACAGTGCTTGAAATGACCATATTAAGGATATCTGCTCTCAGTGACATCATAAAAATCTAAGTAGAAAGTCCGGCTGCAGACAGAGCCCTCAGAGTTGTCTGAATCCTGAGCCTTACTCACAGAGGTTAATTGTAAATCTTACTATTATTATTGTTATTATTAATTGGGTTTTGGCCATCCACCTTTTTTAAAATCATGTATACAGAAACCAATGAAAAGTGGAATAGGCCAACTTAAAAACAAATCAAAGGGAATTAAAGATCAGTAACATTAATAACCGATATAAGGCCGTATTTATAAATATTGATTCTTTAATGAAGGATATCATAACATACACAGCAACCACAATATCATGACATAACACCATAATCAAAGAAAACATGGGGAAATATTCTTTTGTAATCTTTTTCAACATGCTATAGTTCAGCAGATTTATTAGGTGTACTGTAACCATATTGGTTTTCAAGGTGACCCAGATGACCGTTGGTGCCTTGCA